CAGAGGGCTTTTCATCTCTTATCAAGTGTGAGACAGATCACACTGAGTAACCCCAGTAATCACCAGTCTGAAATTATTTTGTAGTTACTAAGTATTTAAATGCAGAAAGCCTTTGAAGGCCATCAGGCTCCTTGCCATTAAATCCAATAATCATTGGATTCAGCTGTTAGTCTGAAGCAGCTTTCATTCTTCAGTTCATTTCCTATGCAAATGTTCACATTTCAGTAAACAAGCACAGAAATGCTTGTGATTGTAATTCAAGTTATTTTTATTAGCCCACTGTAGCATTAGTAATCATCTGAAGCATTTGAGAAACACAAGTGAAATAGATCTTTGAATAGCTGAAGTTTAGAATAAGATGAGTTCAGGAAGTATTTTGCTTTACCTTCTTCAAAAACATACCCTTTTCCTTCAGCAGGACCAGATTCTTTAACTGGTTTTGGTGCAGTTTTTTCTCTCTTTTTCAGATATTCTTTCAGCTTTTCTGCTCGGTCCAAGTATTCTGTACATTTTGCTCTAATGCTGTGTTTTGCTTTATCACCCTGTGCTTCATCTAAGTGTTTGAAGAGAAACAATTATTTGTTAACAGCAAAACACATGTGCATCAATCAAAAAACAAGACTAAAGATCTGTCTCCTTTATCTCTTATCAATATACCTCTCTCAGGGCTCACAACATAACCAAACATCTCAACTACTTATTTTTCCACTATACCTTGGAAAGAACTGACCAGAAGGATGTCAACATGTAACAGAAATCAAATATTCACCTGAACATTACCTTGGCTTAAAATTTGACTCTACAGGATTAAGGACAACAGCACTGGAAGCTTTTCTGTCAGCCTTTCAAGCTGCTAGACATTGCCTCAATAACTGCTTTTCTAAAATAGCTAATCAAGAAGCTGCTTGTGCTAGGCAATTTTTATTTAGAACCATACTTGATTCTTCCATAGCCTGCTAATTTTACAAGATAAAGAAACATTACATAAAACATCTGAAAGAACTCCGTGTGTTTCAACAGCCATGCTGTTCTCATAATCACTATTAGAGTATTTCAAACCAACCATCAAAATTTAATATGTCAGATTTTTGAGCTAAGTTTCCAAAAGTACATCAATATAGTTAAAAGCATAGAAAGTGGTATTCTGAGAAAGTCTGTAAGATTTAAATGGACAAGAAGTGATAAACACACAGATTTTCCTAATAATAACGGACTATAAAGAAAACTATTTTGTTTTCAAATCATGAAGATCTGTAAGTGTACTTCTGTCAGGCAAGCAACCCTAGCCCACTTACATTAGGGCTGTACCCACATTAAGAAAGCCCACTTCTTGCATACAAACACCAAATGTGGCACAAAAGGTACACAGAAGTGTGAAAAGGCATAAAGTAATGAGAATATGGAAACTGAAGAAAAATTGTTACATACAAGTCCATCTCGTACATTTTCTCGGCCAAGATAAACAGCAAGACTATGACATTAAGGAGCAAAAAATGTCAGCAGAGAGGCTTTAGAAGGGCAAGCAGCATGAATTAAAGGAGCAAAAAGCACTCTGCAGATACAGCAAAGACTTCGTGTGTAACATGGTTTTCAGCACAACAGAAATACAGGGATCCCTGTACTTATTGTCATATTTCCTCGTGCAGTGGCCAGCTTGAAACACTGCTACAAAAGTCCAGAGGAGAGACAGCAAACACCTGCCTCCTGTCTTAAAAAAACCTAAAACAAAACACAAGTAAAAAATAATCTAATTTCTTACAAGAATGGAGCAAGCACACAACACAGTAAAGGTAAAAGCTGCAAAATATATGACCTCAGTCAAACTACAATTAGCAACTATCAACTGTTGATGAGAGCAAAAATTTAAATACTGATGTCAACATAAGAGATTTCTCTTGTGCAATCTGACAACTAAACTCTACTTCATCATCCAACACATCACACTTACATTTAACAACATGGAGAAAATACTGCACGGCATGTTGGTACAAGCGGAAGGCTTCCTCATAGTTTCCTGCTTTATCTTCTTGTGCTGCCTTGCTAGCAAGGTCTATTGCTTTCTGGAACACAAACAAATAATTAATTGCTGTACAAGAGCATTTTCCATGATCAGAGACCATTTAAGCTGTTACTGTTCTCTGATGGCCAGTTTTTCTGCTCCTCAATATTTACCCCCTCAAAGCTGGAGGCAATTGATTGTCATAGGTGGTGTTTTGTACAAGACACAATATTTCCACCCTTTTGTGAACAGCAGAATTTACAAACTGCTGAAATTTACTAGCGCACAAAAAAGTACAAGTGAGAAGAACAAGTTTCTGTGTACTAAGCTGGAACTACTACTACTATACAGTCTGTCTTACCAATCCCTTGCACTTTCTCATGGAAAGATATGGAAATCCATTATAAGGCTTGGGGGTTTTTTATCACAGACAGAAACTTTGAACTATGTTACAGATATGCTGCTTAAGGTGTGGTTTAGGGGTGCACCTGACAGTGCTGGGTTAATGGCTGGACTCAATCTTTTCCAGCCTAAACAATTCTATGATTCTATGACTGATGACATCAGTAGACCCTGTAAACAGCAAAGTCAATACAGGAAGTACTTGATTACAATCACTGAAACTAGCACTACCACTCTTCAAACATTATGCTTGGAGACATCTTCAAAGATGAGTTGCGCAGCTTCTCTAGGAGGATTTAGATTCTTGATATTCTAGTGAGAAATTTTAATTATCACTCCAGTGGGAGAGGAGGAAAAAAAACCCAAAACAGACAGAGAACATACCCAAATCTCAAGCATCAAAGAGTTCTATGAGAAGCTATGAATGCATTTTTACTTTATTTGTTCAGCTAGTTTCAAATAAATCTGAGATCTAAGCCAGCCTCTATACGGCACACACTGCCCTGTGGATTTATTGTATCACCACTATTCCATTGCTTGCTTGTAAGTGCTTATTACTTTTTATTACACTTTCCTTCTTGGAATGCCCACACCACTTCCAGACAATTAAAACTGTCATTTTGACCATCAGTTCATGTAAGTTGAAAATAAGCAGTCAGCCAGAGTTAACCAACACCAACTAAGTATTCCATAGTTCCTCACCTATTTTTTCCCATGTGGTTCCCTTTCCTAAGCATTGCTAGTATGCTCAGGATGGTTATGTAATGTCAGGGAGTAAGGTTAAGAGTTTGAACTGCAGCAAGGAGCTTCCATTAGATATTCCAGTAGAGATACTCTTGCCACTACCTACAGCCTGCTGTGTTTCAGGCAGAACAAAGCTAGTAAACAATAGCCATGAAAGAAACACCAAAATATTGCATTCTATCGCTTTGTGTTGCTGTCTTGGAAGCAAAGATCATCTCAACAGACCTACTTGAAATCAAAGGTATTTAAAGACAATGAACCAATTAATCAGACTTTGGCTCTGTTGTGGCAAGTGCTGGAGCACTGTAAGCATCTGTTTTTTCGGAACAGAACCAAAGTCTTTCCTTTATGGAGAGGCTGGGAGCTCAAGAGCACTTTCCCAGGTATGAATTGACAGCTGCCTCCTTGCTGCCCATTTCATGCTGGCTCCCTTAGTCACCTCTGTGCACCATTCAAATACAGCAACAGAGCAAAAATTAACCCCCAAAGTTATTTTCATATTAAAGTTCTTAAGTCCTGTCAGTGACTTAAATTACCACAGGGCAGCCCAGTAACTGTATTATTGCCCAATATCCAGGGCAACCGCCTGGATCCAGTACAACAAAGACAGTGATACACGTGACATTAATTCCAAAGAATAAATGGCAAAGATCACCTGCTAAAACAGAACTGTGAGAAAACAGGGCATGCCACAGACCTGCTCCTCTGAAATAGGCAAAAGTCTGCATCACGTATTGCCTGGTTTTGCTATACACTCTCTTTGTAAACAGCCAAAGACTATTACCTGGCTATTAGATTCTCAGCTCTAATACTTCCTTACATCAGCTGCATCTTAGCCTGTTACTGTGAAGAACACCACTGCTATCAAACAGAAAACATTATTAGAATGTTGTATGAACTTGGGCATAGATGACCAGCTCTAACTATCCCTGAGGCACAAACTATGTTTTACCAGGCCATGGGTTTATAGTTTGATGAACATCACCCAAGGAAAGAATGCCAGCTTAAAGAGGTGTCATTCTTCTTATCATGAACCCTGTATCATCTCCTCTAGCTTTGCCAATGCAAACATCACACTGCCAGTGTAAACAAGGCATACAAAAATGATCACGGTTCAAACAGCCGAAGAGCAAAAAGCGCTGTTTGGAACGCGCTTATTTCACTTCGGGGTCTTTCTGCCGGCCAGCCGCAGCCCCGACTACAGCCGCGGAGCCGAGGGTTAACGCAAGCGGAACAGCCGAGCAGGCAGGGGCTGCCTGCAGCCACCAGCAGCCTTACAACACGAGCCGAACCACGCGTCCAGACCAGAAGCGGCACCAGCGCTACCCGGGCGGGCGCCAGGCCCCGCTGCCCGCGTCCCGCAGGGCCGTGCCCCCGGGACCCCTTCCCGGGACCCCTGCGCAGGGTCCCACGCCCGGGGCTTATGAGGGCCGACCCCGCGGGTTCTGTCACCGAGCGCCCCCCACGCCCCCTTGGCTGCGCTGCCCCCGGCCCGCGTTCGCGCTCCCCGTGCCCCGGCTCCGCCCGCAGCCCGGCCCGGGACACCCCCGGCCCCGCTCCTTCCTGGCGCCGCCCCCCGCCCGCCGCCGCTTGCCGGGTCCGCCCCGCGCCAGGCAGGGCCGGCGTCGCCGTACCTGCAGGTTGCCGGAGTTGCCCGCCATGGCGGAGCGGCGAGGGGAGGGAGCGGGAGCGGGAGGAGAGTGGCGCGGGGAGCGGGCCCGGTTGCCGGTGGCGCAGCGCCCCTGTCCCGCCGCCCGCGGAACCCAAAGCGCGGCCTCCGCCGCCGCTTCCGCGCCGAGCGCCGCTTCCGCCTCCGCTTCCGGGCACGCCCCGAGCGCCCGGCCCGCCCCGCGCTCCCCCCGGGTGTTTGGGCTTGGAAGGGGACTTTGGGGAGCGTCCAGACCAATCCCCCTGGCAAGGCAGAGTCACCTGGAGCAGGGGACACAGGAACGCACCTAGGTGGGGTTTGGAATCTCTCCACAGGAGAGTCCACGGCTTTCCTGGGCAGCTGGTCCCAGTGCTCTGCCACTCAGCGTGAAGAAGTTCTTTCTCGTGTTGAGGTGGCGCTACTTGTGCTTTAGGTTATGGCCACTGCTCCCCTCCTGCCGCTGGGCACCACCAAAAACACCGTCCTCTTGGCTCTGCTTTGAGGAATATTTATATGCATTAAATAAGATCCCCTCTCAGTCCTCTTTTCTCCGGATGAAACAGGCCCAATCCTGTTTAATCAGTCATGACGGAGTCATGGGCGGGTGTCACTCACCCGTGGGTCAGTGACGAAGATCAGGTGACGCGCGACGCTTTCGGCCTGGGGAGGAGGAAGTGACTCAACGCACGAGCAATTACAAACCAGTTCTGGAAAGGCAGCTCGCTGTGTCGATGTATGGATGTCTGCTAAATAAGTGCCATATCTTCCCCTCTGGTACATTAATTCCTTTAGGGCAAAAAAAGTATCTGGCAAACTCAGCTGTAATAAAACCTATTCTTCCAAGTACCTCCAACTTACCACAGTGCAGCTTTGACTTAATAATTCTAGTGTAACTTTTTTGATTTTATTTTATAATAAAAGTCCTCTGAACCTTTTTGATATGGTCAGTAGGCCGTTTACTCTGGGCACAAAGGAAAAAGGCACATCCACAGTTCCCCCTGGACTGGGAAGGTGTGGTGAATCTCTCCATCTGGTTGGCAGTTTATTTTGGTAAGTGTCCTCACGAGCTGGGGATGCTTTGGTTGATTTTTAGACATGGTCAGTAACAGCTGTTCTCCTTGCATCATCTGCAAATGTGTAAAGACGTGACGTAGGAAAGACTAAGTCATGCAATCAGGCTTTGGGAAATGAGATGGTAAAGAGAGTTTGCCCCTAAAGACAACTGAAATTGGTCAAAGTGAAAGGAGAGGTGATTTCTAAAGGAACCTTACAGCTGTGTGGTCATCAGGATTCAAGCATAGCATCAGTGGTGGGAGGGGCTCAAGAAAAGTGGGTTAAATATCATGTATTTCTTTGTTCCATCTTCAAAGGATGAGGCAAAACCATCCCTTTCGCTCTTTCATGGTTGATTATGCCATTATGAAGCCTTTGGGCTACTTTTAACCTCCTTTTTATTTAAAACAGGCTCCTTCCTTGGGGTATCATTTCCTTTTTGGCTTTACCTTCTCATTCTGGTTAGTGTAACAGAGTATTCTCAGATACGTTCCTGTTGCTAGCAATTCTGTGTCATCTGTACCTATGATTTTTAATTCTTTAATGTTATATTTAGGTTTTAGACTGAGGTCTAAAACAATATGTACCTCACAAGAGTGTAAGTATGCCTCTCCAGTCACACTGAACTGCCTTCCAGAAGAAACTCCAGAAAAAATGACTGGTTTCTGCAAATGTGATTAAAGAAAGTAAATCAGAAAAGGCACCTCTGTCATTTACAGATAACAGGCTAAATCTTGCACTCCTTATTTAAGTCTTACTCATATGGTATTCCTGCTATAATTTGACTTTGCAGCTAGTTTTGCCTGAGGAAAGACTAGATGAATGCTGAGTAATGACATCAAGATTATTTCTTGAGAAGCTAATGAAGTGTCACGTTAAGGGCATTACTTCAATTTGAGGGACGAGTACAGTCGCATTATCCAATGCTTCCCAGTGCTGAAGTTCCTGTGTTACCATATTCTAAGAATGATTGTGTACAACCAAGTGTAATGAAAATAAAACGTATTAAAGGTGTTAATATGGGTACCTGCTGTCCTCAACTAAGTCCATCCCATAACTGCCTGGGGCGTTATTGCTCGCATTGCTGTGGCCTTACGTGGCACAGGCACTGATGATCTGTGTTTCCTAAGGCTGAGTAAGCTGTTGTGCAGAATGCTTCCCGCTGCCATGCCTTGGTTTGGAGGGAAGGGCCCACACTGCATGTTGCCTGGACACCTTGGGCCAAGAGTGGATGGATACGTCAATAAAACAAGTCATGCCTACAGCACAACCGGGTGTCGTGTCTGTGATTCTCCTCTGTCCTGGCAGCTGAGCGGTGGCTAGAGATGACTAATGTTAGCATCAGAGTGAGATTGGCATCAGCTACATGACGTGAGAGCCATGCAGGTGAGGGAAGTGCCTCAGAGACCTTTACAGTGCAGGCAGACAAGGGAGAGAAGGCAGGAAAATACAGCTTCTGTTTTCCTGTATTTCTCTAGCTGATGAAATGATGCTGAATCTGGTCAGGTCAATCTGACCTAGGTAACAAACGCTGTCAGTAGCAAGACTAGCAAGTAAAATTCAGGTTGTCCAAATTCTATTGCGGCACCTCAATCCAGTTTGGTGTACACATAATGATCTTGGGACAGGACCTGCAATGCACTCGTGGTGCAGCTGGGTCCCTTCTTTGAACCATGCTGGACTGAAAAGCAGGAGCACTTCAAGCCACCAGGGTTTGGGAACCTTTCTACCTGTTACATAGTGCCTGGCCTGCAGGAGTCCTGCTGCTGTGGCATTCCCAGGAGGATGCTGCCATATATAACCCCTTTAATAGCACTGAAACCATAGCAGCCTTATGGGGGAGACCTGTGTCCTAAGAGCTCTTATTCCTAAAGCACTCAGTGCTCTGGGTGCAGAGAAGTTGTTGTGCAGCTATGGAGCCTAGGAGGGAAAGAATTAAAGCTGCATTCAGGGCCAGAAAGACTGACAACAAAATAAAGCCGTGTTACATTTATGGCATTAGAGACAAGAATGAGCTTTGGGGCAAGACTTGAAGCACTGGCTTTTGAGGAGTTCGTGGTCCTCCAACTCTACCCAGTCTTGTGGGTCTGAGGTGGATGGTGACACTATTTCCTGCCATAGTACAGTAATGGGTGTGGAAAGTTTAAATTTGTCACTTTTGAGCTTTAGTTTTGTTAATTTTCACTCTACTTCTGCTTTAGTTTTTAAACTTTGAAATACAAAATATGTAAATGCTTGAAGGCACACTGATTTCAAATTAGGTGTGCATATATACAAAATTGTATATATGCACACATGTGTTGTTTTCTGGACTAAGTTAGTTTATTCCCAGCAATGGAATGACTTAGGATGTATATTTCTGTAGTTCATACTGAGATAAATCCAGCACAACATGAAAATAGCCTATGACAATGATTGCAGGTATAACTCAGGGCACATTTTGAAGTTGTTAATTTGATCTTTTTTGATAGAGCATAGAAATAAAAACATAGCTTATTTTCTTAAGTTGTGAAATATTCCGTCCACTGCTACTACTGTGTTTTTTGAATGACATTTAGCATAGTGAATTTCAGGACTTTTTTTACTGTTACATGAGGACCAGCAGAAATTGTCATGAATAAAAAACGAAATCTGAAACAGTATTTTTATTAACTTTACATGTGTTATCTTCAAGGGCAATATTTGTCCTCTACGAGCATAAGTCTGGAGATTTCTGAGGTTTTTCTCATCTTGAACTCAGCAAACAGGGACTCTCATGGGCATTTTATATAGAGACCAAGGGCAAATATTTCACCTAGGTCTTTTCTGCATACTATTTCATTTGTAGGTCTTGATAACTTGTTGAGATTGAATGAAATAAAATCTCTTCGATGATGGCTTTTTGTACAATTGAGCAGATGTGGCCTCAGGGCTGTAGTGGTTGACTATTTTCATTTAAAATACACAATTTTGCCAGCTGGAAACTGCCAGCTCTTTTACACATATATGAGTTCAGGGATTTTGTGCTATGCATTGTTGAGTTTGGTGCAGCAGCATTTCTTTTTGAAACGTTTTCATAGTCACAGGACTTAACAGCCTTATATAGCCCTATTCACCTCAGAGGTTTTATTGTTAAAAATTTAAAAAGTGCTCCCCAGCCAATGTTTCTTTGAGTTTAGAAATGTTCAGGTTTTGACTGTGCATTTTAGATTGCTTCATACTGCCTTCATTTAAAATTTTGATGACCTGTAGAATCATTGGAACAACTCCTGAGGATATTCTAGATGCTCTCATCAGCTGGGGGTCTGTTTTGATCACTGCCAGATTTTTCAAAAATATATGCTGTAACCCAAAGAGAAATCTTGGGTCTCATAAAATTGGTAGATCAGGTTCTGCAACCTGTGTTATGAAAGAGTTCAAGCCAGCTGGTTGTCACAGCATGTGTCTCACTGTCTTAAAAAAGACATGAATCTGTGTGTTGACCCAGATTTTCTTTCCGTGAATCTCCCATGCAATAGAAAGTCTGTAGTGTTTACTGTTGCCAGAGTACCAGAAATCTGAATTGTGTTAAGCAGGGAGAAGCATAAAAGCAGTTCTGCTCCAGTAGGTCCTTTTTAAAGTATTACCAGACTCCTCTGAGCAGATGACAGGGGAATAACTTTTGCCATTCCAATATACAGCAGAATAACTGAACCTGGCTGTTGCAACACAGAGATTCATCTGCATGAGTAAGTTTTAAGACTGATGCCTCTGATGCTTCCAGACTTAATTTTCATGGTGAATTCAAAGTGGCTTTTGCCTGTGTGACTGTAGAGAGCAGTGTTTCCAACATAACTGAATGGCTTGTGGTCTGAATGATTAAGGTGATAAAGGGAAAGAGAGCTGGTTTGGCACTAGACTAGCTGTGAGCTACTGCAGTGTAGTCTGCACTAGATTCCTGGGCTAGAATTTCCCTACTGGATCCCTGTTTATTAATCCGTAAGCCTTTTAATTAGGTATGGAAAGGAGCAAAAACTGGTCATTTAACTTTCTCTTGATCCAAGCCACTCGTAGCAGAATAATTTTCATTTTAAGCAGGAAGCTCTTGGAACCAGGCTATTATTCTACCATAACCTGTCTATAGTGCTTCCACATATACAGTGCTTCCACACCTTTCAATACAATTGTCTCTAGGAACACTGTTGCCCTTTTTTACCCAAAACCCACTGAAGTCAGCAGCCACATTTGCAGTGGACTTTGAATGTTAGCCTCAGATAGACAAATAGGAAAGTATTTGCATTACCACAAGTAATTACATCTTTCCTTATTACATTTTTGTGTTATTAAATTTAATACCCTACTCCTGTTATAGAAATGTTAATGTTATTGTGCTAGTAAGTTTATTAGCTTGTAATATACATGCAGTATGCTCTGAAGTTTTTCCATAGGGCTTAATGAGACTATTAGATCTCAGAAGGACTGAGGAAAACTAGTTTTCAGTGGACTACCTATTGCCTGGGTAAATGTAGGTGGGAAAGTAAGAAGGAAGAAGTCTATGATAAGGTCCTAGAACTTTCTTTTGTAAAATATATAACTGAGTCTCACAATTTACGGCATTTTTATACTTCTCCTATCATGGGCTAATAAAATAATCTTTTCTACATGTTTTGTGGTGCAAGTCCTGCAGTCCTGGGTCAGTGGTCATAGGAGCTGAATCAACTGACTATGGGAATAGCTGCCTCACTTTCATGGGCACTAGGTTTGCATTTTGCATTAGCTGGAGCTTTGGACTGTTAATTGTAAATTTTAAAACTGGGAGTCAAGATAGGTTTGCAGGTATAACTTCTGTATTTTACTGATCACACAAACAACGTGCAGGGTGCGTTTCTCCAAGTTGTGCATAAGAATCCACACAGTGTTTTGGTTGCTTTTCACCTGAAGAAGCAAGAATTAACATGTTCACCCCTTGTCTTAGCTGCATGCAGGGATAAACAAAGACCTTCATCCTAC